TATTTTAGTTTGTTTACTGTTATTTTAATTCTTTTTTTTTCTTTTCGGTTTCCAAGACACGGTATCTACTTGTAGCCTTGGCTGTCTTGGAACTTGCTGTGCAGAGCCGGCTGTCTTCAAACTCACAGAGATCTGCCTCTGCCTTTGCCGGGACTAAAGGGGTGTGCCACCACCGCCCTACTACCTGGCCTTTAACCTTTTTTGTTTGTTTGTTTGTTTTTGGAGACAGGGTTCCTCATTGTAGCCTTGGCTGTCCTGGACTAGCTTTGTAGACCAGGCTGGCCTTGAACTCACAGAGATCTGCCTGTCTCTGCCTCCCCGAGTGCTGGGGTTATGGGCGTGCGCCACCGCGCCTGGCTCCAGGCCTTTTATCTTTTTATTTATTTATTTGTTTTTAAGATTTATTTATTATGTATACAATGTTCAGCCTGCATGCCAGAAGAGGGCATCAGATCTCACTATAGGTGGTTATGAGAGCCACCATGTGGTTGCCGGAAATTGAACTCGGGACCTCTAAAAGAGCAGCCCGTACTCTTAACCTCTGAGCCATCTCCCCAACCTCCAGGCTTTTTATCTTAACTGGGATTTTTTTAAATGCTTTTGGCCTGCGCACAGGTTGGTCGTGCCTTTAAGCCCCGTATTCAGAAGGCGGAGACAAACAGATCTCTCTGGCTTGGTCTACGAAATGAGTTTCAAGTCAACCAGGGCTATGTAGTGAAAACCTATCTCAAATGCCTTTTTTTTTTTTTTTAATTAAATGTTTTTGGAAATGGTTCTTTTGGCCCTCAGCAGGTACCTGGCATATGTTACCATCTAGGGGTCTTAATCAGATTCATTTTCTCTGTCAATAAAAGAATTAAAAGGTGGAGGAGGGGGGAAACACCTCAAGTGCAACAGATGACAGCAGAGAAATCTCAAAAACAGCAAATAGGGGCTGGAGAGATGGCTCAGGTTAAGAACACTGGCTGTTCTTCCAAAGGTCCCGAGTTCAATTCCCAGCACCCACATGGTGGCTCACAACCATCTATAATGTGATCTGGTGCGCAGACACACATGCAGGCAGAATGTGGTATAATTAATAAATAAAAAAATCTAAAAAAACGAACAAACAAACAGCAAATAGGACCAGACAGAATAAGCAGGTGAAGAAAGATCTTTATGAACGGTGAGGAGACATACGTACAGCAGGCATAAAGACCCCCTACAGTGCAGAAGAGGCACTCAGAAGACCAAAACCCAGCTTCCTGAAAGCCCAGAGTTTTTAAAGTCTCTGAAGGGCCTTTCATCCCCTAATTTAGAGTTGGTGCTTTGAAGAAAAGCAGGATGGCTGATTAGGCCACAACTGTTGTGTCAAGCTGACCCAGGCTTGAACTTGTTGAGCCAGTCCATTCTCAGGGACCTTACTGGCACGTGAAAAAGTCTCTAAGACCAAACCAGTGGTGATGGTTCATGCCCTTAATCCCAGCACTCAGGAGGCAGGGGCAGCTGGGATCTCTGAGTTTGAGACCACTGAAGACTAGACTACAGAGAGTTCCAAGACAGCCAGGATTACACAGAAGTCGGGGGAGGGGGTGTCCAAAAGACCTTTGTTTTAAACTGCCAGGGCAGGAGAGTGAGGAAGAAGTTAGCCACCATATTGGAAGTTCAGTACCCTTGTCATGGTTATTCTTGGTTGTCGTCTGGTTTTTCAAGATACAGTTTCTCTGTGTAGCCCTGGCTATTCTAGAACTGCTCTGTAGACCAGGCTGGACTCAAACTCACAGAGATCTGCCTGCCTCTGCCTCCCAAGTGCTGGGATCAAAGGGGTGCAACTGCCATAATCACCAGCCAGCTGTGAATACCCTCTTTTAATCTGGATCTTATGAGGTGCGAAGACACTTTGTTAATCAGGATCTTTTGAGGTAGGAAGATCCACCTTTACTCTGGGCCACATCAGCTGGCAGCCTACCTAAAGGACATGGAAGAAGGAAGCTTGCTCTCTGCCTGGTTACCCTCACCCTCACTCTCACTCGGCCAGTCGCTTTCTTCACTGGCTTCTTCAGGATTCTGCTGTCTACTGAAAACCAGCTGAGATAGCCAGCCTCATGGACTGAAAAACTACTGGCTTCTTGGACCTTTCATTGGTAGACAGCCATGTGTACCAGCTCCACTACAGCCTGTAAGCCATTCTAATAAATCATATATATGTATATATACTATATGTATGTATATATATATATATATATATATGTATGTATTCTGTAAGTTCTGTTCCTCTAGAGAACCCTAACTAATGCAATCCTTATTACCTAGTCACACTTGCTTTCCCTGTCTGCGTATCGTGGAATCTGTCTAACTCTTAGTTCCTCACAGAAATGAAAGTATTCTAAAAAAAGATGCATGTCGTGGCTGGAGAGATGGCTCAGCAGTTTAGAGCGCTTGTTCTTGAAGAGGACCTGGCTTTGATTCCAAGCACTCACATGGTGACCCACAAACATCCGTAACTACATTTCCAGGGTAGCCAGTGACCTCTTCTGACTTCTTAGGGCATCAGGAATGCACATGGCTCACATGCAAACATGCAAGGCAAAGCATTCACACACAGGAAAGAAATCAAGAGATACTCGTGGCACTTGGAAGAGGAGCTGGGTGAGTTTGAGTCCAACCTGTTCTCATAGTGAGTTCTAGGACAGCCAGGACTACCTAGAACTAGACTCCAGAGGAGGAGCTCATCTTCTGGAAAGAGATTTCACAGCTCTAAAAAATTGTCAGAGCACCTTATATAATGGTGGGTCAATAATTGGAGGGGCCACACCTTTTAAAAAGACGTTTTTTCTGTTTCTGTGTGGGTGTTTGCATCTATGTCTGTGCAACCATGAGCATGCCTGAGGAATCCAGAGGAAAGCAGAGTCCGCTGGAACTAGAGCTACACATGCTGTTAGCAAGCCACGTGAGTGCTAGGAATCAAACCCAGGTCCTCTAGAAGATCAGCCAATGCCTTGTTTTGATTTTTTTTTTTTTCAAGACGGGGTTTCTCTGTGTAACAGCCCTGGTTATTGTAGAACATGTTTGGTAGACCAGGCTGGCCTTGAACTCACAGAGATCCACCTGCTTCGGCCTCCAGAGTACAAGCCAGTGCTCTTAATGCTGAGCCAACCAGTCCACAAAATCTTGACAGAGATTTCATAGATTTGCATATTCTTGGCCTTCTGCTTAAATTTTGGTCTCCCTTCAGGACCCATAAGACTGCCTTGGGGTTCACTGGATTTTTGTTCCTTTTTTTTTTTTTTAAAGATTTATTATTTATACAGCATTCTGCTCGCATATACACATGCACACCAGAAGAGGGCGCCAGATCTCATTATAGATGGTATGAGCCACCACCATGTGGTTGCTGGGAATTGAACTCAGGACCTTTGGAAGAACAGGCAGTGCTCTTAACCTCTGAGCCATCTCTCCAGTCCTGTTGCTCTTTTTAATGTGGCTAAATTGAATTTTTTCCCTGCTTTCCAATTTAGCTCTTTAAATAGGCTTATTGAAGATAGGTGGCCCAATATGGTTTGGAGTGTAGATTGTGATCCCCAAGTTTGGTAAGGAGGGAATAAGGCTGCATGTGACGAGGCGTGCTGTCAATCCCAGCACTTGGGGAGGCAGAAGTGGGGGACTCTCTGATTTTGAGGCCAGCCTACATAAGAGAGTTCTAGGCCAATTAGGAGAGTATAACGAGACCCTGTCTCAAAAAGACAAAACAAAAAACAAGTATCTGTTGAACAAAGATGTTTTGTGTGTGAGACACTGCCAGGAAAGAAAACAAAGACGTTGGGGCTGGAGAAATGGCTCAGCAAGTGAAGAGCACTGACTGTTCTTCCAGAGGACTGGGGTTGAATTCCAAGAACCCACATGGCAGCTCACAACTGTCTGTAACTCCTGTTCCAGGGAATCCAACACCTTCACACAGACATACGTGCAGTCAATCACCAATGTACATAAAATAAATTTAAAAAGAAAACAAAGACATCTTTTTGTGTGTGTCACTGGCATGTATGTCTGGGTACCACGTGTGCCTCCTGCCCTCAGAAGCCGCAAAGAGGGCATCAGATCCCATGGAACTGGAGTAACAGATGTTAGCCACTGTGTGGGTAGTGTGATTAAAACAGAGTCCTCTTTCAGAGCAGCTAGTGGTCTTAACCTCTGAGATATCTGATCTTGCCTCAACCTTTTCTTTTATTGAGACAAGGTCTATGTAGCCCCTGCCATCCTAAAATTTCATATGTAGACCAGGCAAGCCTTGAAATCACTTGCCTCTCCTTCTGGGGTGCTGGGTCTAGAGACGTGTGCCACTATTCGTGGTTTAAAACTCCTGATCTTATATAGCTCATTTTCCAGGGACCAAGTAGGATGGCCAGGGAGGAGAGAAAATTCACACTGGTGGATGGCAGGAAGGGACCATTTAAAGTTAGGTAGTTAAAGTCTTTCATTGGGAAATCAACACCTGAGCAACTGAAGTTGTAAAGCTGGGAGGCCTGCAGTTTTCTGGACATGGTGCTTTAAGTTGAGAGGTGGCTGGATGGCTGTGGGGAGGGCAGAGGAGACTAAGAACAAGAGGACACGAATTTCTTTGACTTCTATTCTTGGTTTAGGGTTCTGAGTCATTTGTATTACCAGCTAGGAAGCTATGTAGTTTGGTAAGAAGGTGCAGAAAGGCCACAGGGGAAAAAAGTGGGTTAATTTATGAGGAAGAAAACAGCTTTGCAGGATGGGGACTACTCGGTGGTAGATCCAACTAGGGAAAGAACTTAAGAGTCTAGGAGATCGAGGGTTGGAGGCACATAGCCACAGCCACACAGAGAAACCCCGTCTCAGAAAAAAAAAAGGTGGGGAGAGAACAGTCCAGAGGACAAAGGCCAGTATCTGATGCTTAAGGTCTGCAGAGGTGACAAGGACAACAGAGCACATGGAGGACACAGAGGACATGTGGTGTGAGGTGGGCCAGGCCTGGGCTCAGAGTTTATTTAACTCCTCTATAAGACATTTTGACCCTGCGCACCCCACATCTCAGCCTCCGGGGCAAGCTCAGTCTCCTGGGCCCAGGCGCTCAGGAGCAGGTTGTCATCCTCCAGGAAGTTGCCCAGCTGTGCCAGCTGCCGGCGGATGAGGTTGGTCGTGCGGTGCACCCGGCGCACACGCCCCAGCAGGCTCAACAGCAGGGTCCGGTTGCGCTCATGGCGCTGGACCCAAGCGTCACGTAGCTCGCGGTAGCAGTTGTGTTGCTCACCCTCCGAGGCAGCCAGAGGGGCCCCACAGCCTAAGGGGCAGCGCCGCTGTCCGCCCTGCTGGCAGTGCTGGCGGTGCTCATCTAGGACCCCGCGCAGAACCCTCGCAGTGCAGCCCTCATTGGGGCAGGCCATCAGCTCGAAGGGGCATGAGTCCTGGTGCCCTTTGCGATGAGCCAGGGGGCAGGTCACCAAGCACCCAGCTGCAGCGTTCTTGCACTAGAAAGTATGAGAAAGCTCAGTATGAATTAAACTAAGTTAGGCATTCGTAGCTGGGGCTCCCATTGTAATCCCTAACCTATGATAGCCACTGACTATGAAACAAGTGAACTCTGAAGCCTCCTAAGCGTTTGTGGTTCCAAGTTTCTCTATTTTGAAATGTTAGAGGGCTGAAGAGTAACGGCACTTCATCGTTGAAGATCGTTTATAATCCCCACATTACACCTGAGGTTCTTAGGGACTCAGAAAGGATAAGCAGCTTGCTAAAGTCACACAGCAAGTGGTAGACTCATTGTTTATACTCTTCTGCCCTATGACCTTTAACCTGTACTTGTTCCTGCTACCTCTTCTGGGCTGTCTCCCCTCTCCCCAGAAAGATAGGCATGGACACTCAGAGCTACCTTGACTTGTAGGCGGCCAATGGTTTTCCGGAGTTTATTCACTTGGACCATTTTTCTCCTTTTCACCTCTTTTCTACAGCAGGGACAGGTGTTTTGTCTAGAGGAAGGGCATGGTATGACGTTGGAAGCGGAAGGGGACAGGTGGAAGTCATAAGCCAGGCAGAGCAAGTCTCCATTAGGTGACCCAGCTAGTCCTTCCCTTTCCAGCAGGAGGTGGCATAAAGGGAGTATTACAGTGAGCTTTTGGCTCCCAAGCTGAGGCTGGGGATTTCAGACACCAGGGAGCAACTGCACACACAGGCTTAGTGTCCCAGATTTTGCAGCTGAGTCTCAGAGCCATTGGAGCCCAGCTTTTGGCAGACTTTCCCACTGGCCATAGGAACTGGGCCCCGGCCTCAGGCCCACCCTCCTGTATTCCCAATGGCACCTGGCTAGCCACTGGAAGATGCACTTTTTGCAGAAGATGTGACCGCATGGCAACCTCATTGGCCTCTTGAGAACCCCATGGCAGACAGAACACAGGAAGTTGCAGTCAGGAGGGCTGGCAAAGAGGTTGAGATCGTACCCACCACTCTGCAAAGGCAAGCTTGATGTTAAGGTCAAGGCCAGGGTGGGACCAGCCTCCAAGCCCCTTTACCCAGGCACTCATACCAGCAAGATACCTTGGCAATCTTTTGATAGTGGGCCAGGGTATATAAAGAAACTCATAAGCCAGATGCGGTGGGCACACTGGGAGGTAGCAGCAGGTGGATCTCTGTGAATTCGAGGCCAGCCTGGTCTACAAAACGAGTCCAGAACAGTCAAGGCTACACAGAGAAACCCTGTCTCAATCAATCAACCAACCAACCAACCAACCAACCAACCAAAAAAAAACTAAGTGGAGAGCCTGGAGGGGTCACCACCCACTTCTAGGCTGCATTAGTTAGAGTTAAAAGCTGAAAAGCTTTTCTGAAAAGCTTCATTGTCCCACAAAGTGACTGTCATCCATTCTCAGGGATAGGATCTGTTTCTAGACAGCTGGGTAGCTGTCTGGAATTGAGTACAAATCTCAGAGCTGGTGGAAAGAGGCCAGAGGCTCACCATGATCTGTGTCTGCACGGCAGCTCCACTGAGAGCAAGGCCTCCGAAGCCTCCATTTCATAGCACATGTGGACCGACATCACAGTGGCATTGTCCGGCTTAGGCCAATCACAGCTCTGGGCCAGAGCCCACCTTGCTTTACTCTGAAGGTGAGTGGTAAGGTAGCCTCAACTCAGTCGCCTTGGATTCTCTCCCTTGCCTTGGTTGTGATTGACTCCTGATTCCTAAGCAAGAGAACCAAGTCTTTAGGACCTCGATCCCCAAAACCAGCAGGATCACAGGGGCTTGCTGCTTCCTCCACTATCATTTCCCCAAGACCATGTCCTATAAGCAGGAGGCCCATCCTGTGAAAAGCCCCCAGGGTTTTCAACAAATCTTTAAGAAAGCTCTTGAGTAAACTGTGGTATCCAGGTTGTAGTGTACTTTTTTCCCCTTTGGGCATAATATGGTCTCCATATTGGTACAGAGGTCATAGTGGCTACAGAATACAAGAGACTGAGGTTACAGTAATGGAGCTGCTGACATTCAAGTCTCCCTTTTAGCCAGGCAGTGCTGGAGTATAGCTTGCCTCATGACTTTAATGCCAACCCAGGCAGGCGCAGCTCTGAATTTTATGGGGCCACATGTGCTCAGTAGGCTGAACCTCAGTGGGACCATATACCTTGGTCATCGATGGTGCCCCATTTGGGAAAAAACAATGCTAACGCACTCCTGCAAGTTTGCTTTAGTCTAGGTAGTCATCTTTTAAAAATTTTTTTAACCACATGTAGTTATGTCTGGAATGTGGGTGAGCTTGGATGCCAGAGCTGTAAGAGCTGGAGTTAGATCCTCTTAACAGCTGAGCCATCTCTAGCCCTGTGATCCTATTTTGTATTGAAATAGGGTCTCGCTATTGTCACCTTGGCTGGCCTGGAACTGTTTTTGTAGACCACGTTTGAAAGGCTTAAGTAGACTCCTTCTTAGAGCCAAGAACCAGTCTCAAAAAAAAAAAAAAAAAAAAAAAGGTGGCCCCGAAATCACAAGGCTCTGCTTCCCTTGGATACCCAGATGCTGACTGCTGGAAACCCTCCAAAAACATACACACACGACAATTTAAGTTAAATCATTTTATTTGAGGGAAAAACCCGGACCCTGCCATATTCTCGAACGAGGCGGCGGTTACGAAGACCTCCAAATCCAGTGGAACCTGCGAAGAAATGACGTGGTTAGGATCGCTGCCACAAGCCGGCGGGCCGGAGCGGCGCGGCGATCCGGAATGTAGGGGCCTGGGTTTCACCCTCCCACACTGGGGCAGCGGGCGGTGAGCTGAGGCCCCTGTGGCTCTGGGCGCCGAATCTCACCTCCGGCCACAAGCCAACGCCGAGGATGATTTTCAACGAACGCCCACTAACCGGGTCAACAGCGTACGCAGCAAGAGGCCGATGAGCAACTTACCCGAGCAGAGCGACAACACGCGTGGAGTACTCCCCGGAGGACCAAGTGTGGCCAGCCCGAACATTTATAGCCCCACCTAGTCCGGGGTAAGGAGCGGCTTCAGGGAAGGGAGGTGCGCAGGCGCAAACAGAGCGTGGCGGGGGCGGAACAAGACGCAGCCAATCACCGCCTGCGGGTGAGCAGTCGAGATCTCGCGGTTCTTGGTGCACTATAAAAACTCCCTTCCGCACGGCCTCGGTCTTCTTCTTCTTCGGGAAAACACGTGAGTCTGCGTGAGTGGATCACGGCCTTGCTCTCCGGCCTGTGGTAATCCGTGGACATCCGGACGGAGACACCCTTCAGAGGACCGTCCCGTTCCGGAGCTCCGAGCGTTCGCACAGTCTAGGGGTCTGCTCAGTGCTTTCTGTTTCTCTTTTGTCTCTGTAGCAAATGGCGGATGACGCCGGTGCAGCCGGAGGGCCGGGAGGGCCCGGCGGCCCAGGACTAGGAGGCCGCGGCGGCTTCCGCGGAGGGTTCGGCAGCGGTCTTAGGGGCCGCGGTCGTGGTCGGGGCCGTGGGCGTGGCCGGGGCCGCGGGGCTCGTGGCGGTAAAGCCGAAGACAAGGAGGTAGGTCCGGGCCGCGGGCAGGGCGGGCTGCCCGTGCACCGGACGCAGAGGCAGCCCTTTGACTGGTGTCTTCCTGCAGTGGATCCCTGTCACCAAGCTGGGCCGCCTGGTTAAGGACATGAAGATAAAGTCCTTGGAGGAGATCTATCTGTTCTCCCTGCCCATTAAGGTACAAGAAAGCCTCCGTGCAGAAATGTTTGGGCGGGACGTTGTGTCGTGTGTGCTGCCACATAAGTTGTCAGGGTTGAGTAAAAGACCAACTCTTGCCTGCTGATAGTTAACAAATTAACATTTCCCACAAATTTGTTCTAGGAATCTGAGATTATCGACTTTTTCCTGGGTGCATCCCTAAAGGATGAGGTACTAAAAATCATGCCAGTGCAGAAGCAGACACGGGCTGGCCAGCGGACCAGGTTCAAGGTATTGTATTTACTTGGCAAGGTGGAACTGCTTAAACAATGGGGTGAGCAAAACTCTCTCACTCTGCATAGTTACACTAGGTATTGCCCGTGTGACTTTCGTACGGGGAGAGAGAGAAAATGAGTTCCTCAAGTGCCTTGGATTGGCCTTACAGTGGCCTCTCTTGCCTAGTGGAACACCACAGGTTCTGGTTGGGATGTGCTGGTGTAAGGTACCACCAGCCAGCCATTTCACCTAAGTCTTTTCACAGGCTTTTGTCGCTATTGGGGACTACAATGGTCACGTTGGTCTTGGTGTTAAGTGTTCCAAGGAGGTAGCCACTGCCATCCGAGGAGCCATCATCTTGGCCAAGCTTTCCATCGTCCCTGTGCGAAGAGGCTATTGGGGCAACAAGATTGGCAAACCCCACACTGTTCCGTGCAAGGTGACAGGCCGCTGTGGCTCTGTTTTGGTGCGTCTTATCCCTGCCCCCAGAGGCACTGGCATTGTCTCTGCTCCTGTGCCCAAGAAGCTACTGATGATGGCCGGTATTGATGACTGCTACACATCAGCCAGGGGCTGCACTGCCACCCTGGGCAACTTTGGTAGGTAGCTCATAGTTGCCAGCCTCTCGGCTCCGCTGGATTACACGGGCCCAGTGTGTGGTTGGCATATTTTTAAGGGGGGGGGGGGGGATTGGCCCTCCTAATGCACGGCAGACTTGCCCCAAAGTGGCTTCTCTGTTCCTAGGAGTGCAACAGCTCCTTGCTGGGCAGCGCTTTTTATCCTTAAGTCAAGCCACTAACCCTCTTTACTGTTTTTTCAGCCAAGGCCACCTTTGATGCCATCTCCAAGACTTATAGCTACCTGACCCCTGACCTTTGGAAAGAGACTGTGTTCACCAAGTCTCCTTATCAGGTATGCTGGTCAGCTTGGTCTGTTGGCTGCCTTTAAATTAACTCTTAGCTAAGAGTTGGGGTGCATATTGTACCAATATGTCATGCTTCTCTTTTTAGGAATTCACTGATCATCTTGTGAAAACCCACACCAGAGTCTCTGTTCAGAGGACCCAGGCTCCAGCTGTGGCTACCACATAAGGGTTTTTTTATACAAGAAAAATAAAGTGAATTAAATCTGTTAGTGTTTTTTTTTTTTTTTTGTCTGTATCCCCCAGACTCACATCTCAGCATTTAGTGGACACCAGAAACAGGCCATGTGCAGTCTATCATTTTATTTCAAGAATTCTTGTAGCTGGAATCTTACGCAGCAGCAGCCTCTTTAGCAGCCTTCCTCTCTTGCAGCATCCTCTGCTTCTGCTTTGCCAGGCACTTTCTGGCAGAACAATAGGCTCCCAGGTCAAAGTCTGGAGAAAGATGGGGCATGGAGGGTTTGTCACATGCACAGGTATTTGGGGCAAGAAAGTCCCAGTGCTGACCCACAGCTATGCACAACCGAGAAGACAGGGTTTTAATAAGGCTGAGTTACTTACAGCGGTCATGGTAGGCTTTAGCCACCTGCGTGAACTGCTCCAATTCCTTGGCACAATTCTGGGTTGCACTTTCTCCTTCCCTCTGCTGACAAGCCTTAAACCTCTCCTGAATGATGTTGAGGATTTCCTGGTCAACTTTGCTGAAAGCACAAGGGATAGAAATACCTATCTCAAGGTTTTGAAAGGATACAAGCCTGTCTCAGCTCAGGAGTCTTTCTCCAGGAGGATGTGCAGGTACACTGGATAAGGCCACCCTGTGGCACAAAGTCTGTGTTCCCTGCTGCTCACTTACTAGTCCCTTCTCCACTGCATCTCAGCCTCAAAGATACACAAGACGTCACCCTCTTTGCATTCTGTGATGTCTGGCACACGACGATACTGTCGGTGGTAGTAGTAGGTTCGGTTTTTGGCGTGCTGTTTCTCAATAAATTCTGTGAAAACACCAAAAATCAATGGCCAGTGAGCTCATACAGCCTTAGGTTAGGTGTCTATATAAAGTTCCAAGCTTTTACAGAAACAGTCAATGAAGGACTGGCTACAGTGGTTGACAGCTACCACCTTCAGTTGCATGACATCTCACCTTGGGCCCCTACCTTACAGGGCAGGTCTTTATAGAACAGACATACTCTGCTGAGAATTAATATAGTTGGGCCCACAGCACCCAGAGTTTGAGTAGACGAGGCTCCATTAGGAATTCGGTAATAGGACCCAATGTTTTCCACTGGTAAGTTAAAATAGCACAGGGTGCAGACATCCAGGCATTATAAGATGCCTCCAAAATGGAGGTGACTTTACTGCAGTAATGCACCTGGGACTACCTTCCTAATCCAAGGACCACCTGTAAGCCAGGGGCAGTGACGTGTGTCTGTAAACCAAGCCACTAGGAAGCTGACAAAGGTATTTGCTATGTTGACCTGGACAACACTGAACATGCTGTCTCACAAAGAAGCCACTGAAATCAGCTCAACACTTAGAGGAGAGAAAAACAAATCACTTAAGCATGCTCTGCACCCCAAATGCTGGATAAATGAGCTGCTTAATTGACCGGACGAAGAGTCCAACATGATTCTGGGCTGCTCACCATTCTGGCAAACAGGACCAAGGGCTGAATGGTCCATTCTCTGGGAGCAGGGATAAAGAGCATAGCCATTTAAAACACCCCTTTGCACGAATGAAACTGGCCCAAAGAGAAGGATGACCACCCTGACCATGCAGATGGATTGCAAATAGCCTATTTCAACAAGGACTTATTGACCAGCAACTGCACACACCAAGGACAGGGCCTTGCCTTCCCGACCACTACCAGTTTTTTGTATTTGTTTTGTTTTAGAGACAGGGTTTCCCTGAGTGGCCTTGGCTATCATGAGACTTGCTATGTAGACCGGGCTGGCCTCGTACCCAAAGATTCACCTGCCTCAGTCTTCCCAGCGCTGGGATTAAAGGCGTGCGCCACCGCCAGGATTCCGACTACCACCGCTTAAAAGAGCGACCAGGGTCGACAGTAGTGGGGATTCCGCTGAGAGCATAAAGAATTATGAACAGGGGCCAGTCCCCGGAAAAAGTGGGTTATCCCACGGTGCAGCAGGGGCGACGGGAGGTCCTGGGAAGTGATATGGAGTGCAGCGGGGAAACAAAAGGAGGTGATGATTCCCCCCAGTGGCAAGAGGTTAACTTGTATATCCCTTTTGGATTTACAATCCCTAGACCAATACTTTCCCTTGCCACAGTGGCTGCAAAACCCTTGGGCGTTTCTGGGTGTCTCGGATAAGGCAGAGGGTGTCCTAGGTGCATTGGGGAGGTTAAGACACGATTTGGACTCGGGGTCTTTGGGTGCGGGACAGCGACGTGTCCAGGGGCGGTAGTCTAGGGGGCGGGAACTAGACGTGGGATCCGTAGGGTACCGGAATCTCCACTGAGCGGGCGGAATCCTAGACCCTGTACCTCTCACGAGGGTCACGGGCCGGTCCACGACGAGTTCATAGGCCTTCGTCAGGTAGGTGATAGGGTTGGGGAGCGAGGTTTGCGGCGACGGAGCCGGTGTGCGGCGCGGGGGCTCGGGGTACACATCCTTGTCCCAAGAGTCCGGCATAGCTTAAGCAGGACCTCCGGGTCGACCTTGCAACTCACTCCGCGTCTGGACCAGCTCGGCCCGCTAAGGACGCGGAGACCTCTACGCCTGCGCGGAAAGGCGGCAGCTGCGTCTGCGCAGTGGGCAGCCGCGAGGCACCACGGGATCGTACCTCGCCTCTCGGGCGCCCCCTTGTGGTTCTCAAGGCACCGTGGCATCCCGGTTTAGTTGGACAGAGATTACCAGATGCCTTGCAAGGCTTTGCTGTGACCTACCGGCTAAGATAGCAGGGAACGAGGTGAAAACGGCTTGGCAAGAGCACACAATTCAACGACTAATAGAAACACCAAACGCCCTCACTACTCCAGGAAGCCATTCTGGTCTGGCCTGCTCTGGGCTCTGCCCAGGTCCCTCATGGGCTTGTGGGTGCCAGTGAACCTGGGGCTTCTCCGAAGAGGCTGAGCTTGTCCCTGTGGTCAATGAGGAAAAAGGGTCTCCTATCCTAGGCACAGAGAGCTTCTGGGGGTCCTGTTCTGGTCCTGAGCTCTTTTGCTCTGAGTTGTCCACTGTCCAGGACTGTACTGGACAGTACAGTTTAGAACCTGGTTTTGCAGCCTGGGAAGTGGAAATCCTCACTTCTGCCATCTAGGTGCTGGTCCCCTCCTGCCAGAATTGGGGACTAAGAATATAGAATTTATCAGTTGCACAGACTTACCACAATCCAGTATTACACAAACATCAGCTTATGACAGCTAACTCAGACCCAAAAATCAACATGTTGGTAGCATAGAATGTATCTAATGCAAAATCACTATCCTGGAGGAACATCTTGAGCTTAGTGGATTCAGTAATTCTACAACTACAGAACCTTGATCCTGTAACAATAGACTCTTGGGATAGAGAAAATAATCTTAGTTCTTGGGAGCAAAGGCAGGTGGAACTCTGAGCTCCAGGAGAGCCAAGGCTACACTGAGAAATATTGTCGAGAGAGAGAGAGAGAGAGAGAGAGAGAGAGAGAGAGAGAGAGAAAGAGAGAGAGAAAAGATATATATCCAGGGCACAGTGGCACAGACCTGTAGTTGGAGCTACACAATGAACTGCATTGGGATGATCATTTGAATTCAGAAGTTCAAGACCAGCCATTTATATAGGTTTATGCATATAAGCTTGCCATTTTGACTGAGGCAGGAGGATTGCCACGAGTTCAAGGCCAGATGGGCTATAATATGAGACCTTTTCTCAAAAGAAAAAGAAAGAGCTGGAGAGATGGTTTATCAGTTGAGAAGACTTCCCAAGGACCTGGGTTTGATGCCCGCCACTCACACGGTGGTTCATAACTGTCTATAACTCCAGCTCCAGGGAATCCGATGACCTTTTCTAGCCTTCAAGGACACCAGGTATACAGGTGGAGCACAGACATACATGCAGGCAAAACACCCATACACATAAAATAAATTTTAATTAAAAAAAAAGGAAAAAGCCTGGTGATGGTGGCACACACCTTTAATCCCAGCACTCAGGAGGCAGAGGCAGGTGGATATCTGTGAGTTTGAGGCCAGCCTGATCTACAAAGTTAGTTCCAGGACAGCAAGGCTACACAAAGAACCCCCCCTCCAAAAAAAAAAAACCCCACAAAACAACAACAACAAAAGAACAAAAGAAAGAAACTGAAGTTGAGGCCTTGAAAAAATGCTGCTCACTGGCTTGCTCTTCAAGGCTGAGTCAGCCTGCTTTCTCATAGAACCTGGTATCACCCACAGTGGAGCCTCCTACATTAGTTTTTAATCAAGAAATGCCTTAGGGGCTTACTTATAGGCCAATCTTATGGGAACATTGTCTCAATTGAGGTTCCTTCTTGCCAGATGACCTTGGCTTTTGTCAAGTTGACAAAAACAAAACAAAACAAACAAACAAACAAAAAACCTAGCCAGAACAGATACTTGTATGAATTTGTTTTTATGTTTCTTTGATTCTTTGTTTATGACAGGGTCTTAGGTATTACAGGCTAGCCTTCAAGGTAGTATGTAGCTGATGATGGCTTTAAATTTCTGATCCTCCTGCCTCTACATCCCAAGTGTAAGTGTTGGGGTTATGGTTGTATATTGCTGTGCCTGTTTTTTTTAATAATTAAAAATATTTTAATATTAACCACAGTTTATTCACTTTGTATCCCAGCTGTAGCCCCTTTCCTCATTCCCTCCCAATTCCACCCTCCCTCTCTCATCTCCACCCATGCCCCTTTCCAAGTTCACTGATGGGGGGGTCCTCCTCCCCTTCCATCTGACCCTAGCCTACCCAGTCTCATCAGGACTGGCTGCATTGTCTTTTTCTGTGGACTGGTAAGGCTGCTCCTCCTTCAGGGGGAGGTGATCAAAAAGCCAGCCACTGAGTTCATGTCAGAAACAGTCACTGTTCTCCTTACTAGGGAACCCACTTGGATATTGAACTGCCATGGGCTACATCTGTGCAGTGGTGCTAGGTTATCTCCATGCCTGGTCCTTGGTTGGAGTATCAGTTTCAGAAAATACCCCTGTGCCCAGACTATGCCTGATTTTTGCTGTGCTGGAGACTAAACCAAGGGTTTTGTGCATACCAGGCAAGTACTCTATTAACTGACCTACACTTTTAGCCCTGCTATTTTTCTTTTCCTTCCTTCCTTCCATTCTTTCTTTTCCTTCCTTCCATTCTTTCTTTTCCTTCCTTCCTTCCATTCTTTTTCTTCCTTCTTTCCTTCCTTCCTTCCTTCCTTCCTTTCTTTTCTTCCTTCCTTCCTTCCTTCCTTCCTTCTTTCTTTCTTTCTTTTTTTCTTTCTTTCTTTTGACAGGATTTCTCCTTGTAGCCCTGGCTGCCGTGGCACTTGCTCTGTAGACCAGGCTGTCCTTGAACTCACAGAGCTCCACCTACCTCTGCCTCCCAAGTGCTAGAATTTGAAGGCCTGTACCACCAAGCCCATCTTGCCTTCACGCTTTTGACTTGAGTTCTGCCTTGGCTTCTCTCAATGATGGACTGTGCTGAGGGTGTATAAGCCAAATAAATTCTTTCCTCCCCAGGTTGCTTTTGATTATGATGTCTTTAAATTTTTATTTTATTGTATTTTTTTATGTAGAAGTGTTTTGCTTGCCCATGTGTCTTTGCCCCACATGCATGCAGTGCCCATGGAGGCCAGAAGAAGATGTCGGATTCCCAGAAACTGGAGTTATAGACAGTTGTGAGTCATCATGTGGGCACTGGGAATTGAACTGGGTCCTTAGGAAGAACAGCTAGAGCTTTTAACTTTTGAGCTATGACTCCGGAGTCATTCATGGTGTCTTTATTGTAGCAGTAGAGCTTACAACTCTCAGGAGAGGAGACCTCTTTACCAGACTCAGATTTTCCTTCTGGTTGTGGCCTAAGATCAGGCCACAGTAGCCCTTGTCCTTAAAGAGTCATCACCCAGTCCGCAGGACCTTGGAAGAAAAAATGCTATCCCTGGTCCCAGGTGATCTCACCACTGCAGGCTGCCCATCTAATGCCCCTCCCAGGTTTGTTTCTGGCATCAAAAGCCATGCTGGCTACAGAAGCTGGCCAAGGAGCCTGCCAGGTGCTAAATCTGGGATCTGGCAGCTGAGTGTTCTGGCCCTGTCATTCGACCTCTGGTGCCTGTTGGGGAGGCCCCTTCCTGACCTGCAGGGATCGGCCATGGTTAGTGGGCTGGGGCTACACCTTGAACAGACTGGCATTTCAGGGGAGGGGGCAGGAACAATCCTGGTGCCTGGAGGAATGTGTTTGAAGAGGCAGCAAAGGGCCAGGGCTATGTTTGGGGGACTAAAAGGGGCAAGGGATGGAATGGACCGGTCACAGCAGCAACCTGCCTCTATCTTACTGTCTTGGACCCTTCCAGGTCTTGCCAGGCTGAGTTTGCAGGGGCAGGAAGCCCATGGTGGTAGAGACCCCATTCCTAAACTTCCATTATTTGCACTCTGTTCTTTGGAAGATGGATGGAATAGCACTGAGGACTGCATGAACCTCTCCCTCAGGCCTCTAGCCCACCTAGCAGGCAGGGTTGGAGTGTAGAGTCTCCTGGATTACCCTGAAGCCACCCCTAGGGAGACCCTAGTTCTGAACTTCTTCTCTCCTATCCCTAGTCCCACCGGAAGTTCTCTGCCCCTCGACATGGACACCTGGGCTTCCTGCCCCACAAGAGGAGCCGGCGGCACCGGGGCAAGGTAAAGAGCTGGCCTCGGGATGACCCCAGCAAGCCTGTGCACCTCACAGCCTTCCTGGGCTACAAGGCCGGCATGACCCACACGCTTCGAGAAGTGCACCGCCCTGGACTGAGTGAGTGGGGCGGGGGGGCACAAAGAGGGTGGGAAATAGATTCTTCCAGACGCTAGGTGTCGGAAATTGCTCTTGTGGTCCAAGTGGAGCCACAATCCCAGAAAAGATGATGTCCTCCTGTGCAGGGGAGTTGCCCTCAGGACAGGCAGGATCCCTGCTGAACTTTGTCAAGCCCCGTTCATGAGCAGCGCCTGGTGGGAGTGGTTTCTGACAAAACCTGCAATTTAAGACAAGCATGGAGATGCTAGGAAAATGGTCCCAGGTAGTTCCTAAGAGGAACAACCGGAATTCAAAGGTGGGCACCCTGGGGGACTCAGGACTGTAGTCCTAGCTACTTGGGATGCAGAGGCAGGAGCATCACAGACTCAAGGCCAGTCTGAGTAACTTAGTGAGCCTCTGTCTCAAAGTCAAGATACAAAAGCTGGGCGTGGTGGCACACGCCTTTACTCCTCCCAGCTCTCAGGAGGCAGAGGCAGGTGGATCTTTGAGTTCCAGGCCAGCCTGGTCTACAAATTGAGTACCAGAACAGAAAGGGCTACACAGAGAAACCTTATCTCCAATCAAACAAATAAATAAAAACAAAATGCAAAAACAAACAAACCCCAAAATAAGTAAATAAACGTACAAAAAGATTTGGGGGTGTGGCTCAGTAACAGAGTGCTTACCTTGTATGCTCAAAATCCCCAAGCATTGCTAAAAATAATAAAACAGAAAATTTAAAAGTGGGTTACCTCATCTTCCTTAAAACCTCTCATGTAGTGTCTACCTATAGAACTTTAGAACATATTTCAGAAGAGCTAGGATACAGACGTGGATTGTTGTGTGACAGTTTCCTTGAGTTTGAAACATTCCATCCTGCACGGATAACTCAAAATAGTTCTAGAAAGTCCCTGAAATTGATCAGATTTACTAGGCCTGTTCCTGCCAGAGTAATCGATAAAAGCTGAGAGTCCCTCTCCGAGGGGCAATGCTGAGCTACGAAGAAGACTGTCAGGCATCGGAAAGAAACAGAAAGCCGCAGAGTCCACTTTCTCTGACTGTTGAGCTGTGTGCCAGCTATGTTCCAGGTTCACAGCTTTGGTGAGCTATCCTCCATGCTGGAGTGGACTCTGAGTCCTTTCTGCTCCCTTAAGGAACTCCCCACCCATTTCCTGTGAGTAACCCCAGTAAAACCTGCTGACCCACAAACTTGGGCTTTGGTGGTGTGTGTACTTTGATCTGTTGTGGGCTCGCCACCTGGGGTGAGTAGATGTGCCTGTAGGGTCTCCCCAGAAAAAGTTCTGTCACACAACAAGATGCAGTCCAAACCCTTATACTGTTTTCTGTGCTTTGATACTAAAAAGACTTTAGTTTAATTATGTACGCGTGTGTGTCTGTGTGGGAGGATGTGCACACGAGTGCAAGTGTCTGCAGAGACCAAAAGAAAGTGTCAGACACCCTGGACCTAGAGTTGCAGGTGGTTGTGAGCCACTGTGCTGTCTAGTTGTATGTCAACATGACACAAGCTAGAGTCATTTGGGAAGAGAAAACCTTAATTGAAAAAAGTGCCCCCCCTCCCCCATGAGAATGGGCTGTGTTCTTCTGGGTTTTGTTTTTGTTTTTTTCTTGAGACAGAATTTCTCTGTGTAGCCCTGGCTGTCCTGGACTCGCTCTGTAGACCAGGCTAGCCCTGAACTCCCAGAGAGATTCCTTCCTTTGTCTCCAGAGTGCTGAGATTAACGATGTGTACCATCATGCCCGGTCTTTGTTTTGGAAGCGGGGCTTATAGCACAGGCTTGAAGTGGTCCTTCTGCCTGACTCCCGAGTGATGGATTACAAGCTTGTGTACATTCAGGTTTCCTGAGTTCTGCTGCATGCACTCATGCGTCACTTGTGTAAATCTGTAATACTTGCTGCCTGTTGTGACAGACTTTTCCTGGAGAGAGGCAATACACAGGCACATGCACACGCACTGGCACACACACACACACACACACACACACACACACACACACGTCTACTCACTCTAGATAGGGAGCCCATGGCAGACCAAACTCTAATTTGATGAACCAATGAGTTTTACTGGGTTATTACAGAAATATGGGCGAGAGGGTTACTTATAGGAGCTGAAATGACTCAAAGAGAGCTGCCTTACCAGGGTCCACACCGCCTTGAGTGACAGCTCACCAAAGCTGGAAACCGGGAGCACACTTCACAGCCTGGGCAGCTCAATAGGTCAAAGGGCGGCCTTTCCAGGCAGCTCAGCTGTTCTCTGCTTCTTCTAGGCTTTTGGGCTGGTTTCTGCTTCTTCCAGTTGGCTGGGCCTGTCTGAGTTTGCTTTGTAGTTTGGCTGGTCTCAGTATGATGCTCCGAAGTCTGTAATGTTTATATGCTCTTGGAGGGAGGATACTTACTGCTTTTACTGCCTTCCTTTCCATATCTCACCTAAGACTATTCTGTTATTTGGCCTCCCTGTAAACATCTTTTCTCCACTTTTATTGAAAATAGATTCTTAACCCAGGATGGTTGTTTAAGCCTTTAATCCTATCACTCAGGGAGGCAGAAACAGGTGGATCACTGTGAGTTTGAGGCCAGCTGGGTCTACAAAGTGAGTCCAGGACAGCCAAGGCTACACAGAGAAACCCTGTCTCAAACTTTGGTTCCCCAAATACCAAAGTGAAAGCTATAATCTATATGCAGAGGACCTGGTGTAGACCCAGGCTCTGTGCTTGCTGCTTCTGTTTCTGTGAGTTCATAGGAGCTTTTCTTAGTTAATTTAGAGGGTCCTGTTCTACTGGTGTCCTCTATCCCCTCTGTCTCTTACACTCTTCCCACCTTCTTTTCTGCAGGGTTCCCCGAGCTCTGAGGGGAGGGATTTGATGGAGACATCTCATTTAGAGCTGTGTGTTCCAAGGTCTCTCTCTGTCTCTCTGTCTCTGTCTCTGTAATGTCTGCCAGTGGTCTCTGTATTTGTTCTTATTTGCCTCAGAAGAAGATTCCCTGATGATGACTGAATCTCTATTCACTGAGCTGTGCGTATAGCAGAATATCATTAGGAGTACTTTGATCACTACCTTTTTCTTAAAGACCAGTGTTTTTCTCCTATGTCTCTTGCTATCTAGTCTCTGTTTCTTGGTCACCCTTGCAGTGTCTAGGGTGGGTTCTGTCTAGCGGAGTGGGCCTTAAGCAAAAGAAGACATTGCCCACCAGCTTCGTGCCACCATCGCCTCAGCAGACTTTGCAGGCAGGAGGACAGCATTGTAGATCAAACCTTTTATGGCTTGGTAAACAAATGGAATGGTTTCTGTTTTTGCGACATGTTTCTCTGTGTAGCTCTAGTTCTTTACCTTAAAATCACTCTCTAGCCCAGGCTGGCCTTGAACTCAGAGATCAACTTGTCTCTGAGTGCTGGGATTAAAGGCACGAAACACCCCAGCCAGCTCCTAAAATGGAAGAGTTTAATCTAGGACAGTGGTGAGCCTCAGCCTCTTTGGGGAGTTGAACAACCCTTTCGCAGGGGTCACCTAAGACCACCAGAAAACAGGTATTTACATTATGATTCATAACAGTAGCAAAATTAGTTATGAAGTAGCAACAAACATACTTTTGTGGCTGGGGGTCACCTTAAGGTGAGAGACTGTATTAAAGGGTCACAGCACTGACCTAGGAGGAAAACATACACAACACTCCCTCAGCCCAGATGCCCAGCAGCCTTGCCCTCGTGTGCCCTAGGCTACGCTTAGCTAGATACATCACATTCCTTCCTTCCTGTCTCCCCCCTTTCCTTAATTTATCCATTCCTTCTCCTCCCTCCCTTCCTCTTTTTCTGGAAGTCACAGAGACCCACCTGCCTCTGCTTCCCCAGTGCTGGGGTGGAGGTGTGCTCCACCATGCCCAGCATTGTAAGAACCTCCCACTTGGCTGTTTTTCTTTTCTCTTTGGCTTCTAGCACACTCAGGCCAATTCTGAAATTTCATGAAATTAGCCTCTCTCTCTCTCTCTCTCCCTGTACCTCTTACTAACTTTTTCCCCCTTTTCTTCTACCTTTCTCTTTTCCTTCTTTTTCTTCCTTCCTTTCCTCCTTCCTCTCTCCTTCATTCCTCCCTTTCTTCCCGTTTCCTTCCTTCTTTCATTTTTAGAACATATATTTCAGTTGAGCATGGTGGCTAATGCCCCTAATCCCAACACTTGGAAGGTGGAGGCAGGAGGATCAGGAATTTGAGGCTGTCCTCAGCTACTAGCAAGTTCAATGCTAGCCTAGGCTACAGGAGACTCTTCCTCAAGCATGAGCAAAACAAAACCCCAGACAACAAACATACCAAACAAACAAAAACGATGAAATCCATGGCAGCCTAAAGACTATCCATGAAATGGTGGGTTTCTAGGTTTTCCTAGTGTTTATGAAACTATTTTTAGAATTATTAAAAGTAAACTAAAACCCAAAGCTTATGGTGGCCTAGCTACAGTCAGCCAGGCAACAGTTCCTTTCCTCGTTGGCTAAGAAGGTCTCCTCAAATCCTGTCCCTTGGTTTAAACAGAGGTTTCCAAGCGAGAGGAGGTAGAAGCTGTGACCATTGTGGAGACCCCGCCGCTGGTAGTGGTGGGCGTGGTGGGCTACGTAGCCACTCCCCGCGGGCTGAGGAGCTTCAAGACCATCTTTGCCGAACACCTCAGTGACGAGTGCCGCCGCCGCTTCTACAAGGATTGGTGAGAGAGCCTAGCCGCAGCGCGCATACTAGAGCGATGGGCGGGGAGAGCCTTGTCCAGGCAGATAGTGTGTTGGGGGGCCTTCAAGTCAGCAAGACAGGTGTCAGAGAGTTGGAGAGGACACTGGGATGCAGAAAAAAGAGGAATCAAATCTTCAGATCTTCAGGGTTGGGCTGGCGAGATGACTCAGAATAAAGGTGCTCGCTGCCAAGCCTGCCAGCTGTGCTGGATCCACGGCACAGTGTGAGAGCAGAAAACTGACTCGCGAGCTGTCCTCTGACCACCATGTGCGCTGTGGTATTTGTGCACACCATATATAAATAAGTGTAAACAGCTAAAAATCATCAGGTTATTACATTTCTGGGGCTAATTTCATGAAATTTCAGAATTGACCTGAGTGTGCTAGAGGCCAAAGCGGGGGTGGGGTGGGGTGGGGGGAGGGGACAACAACAACAACCAAAAAACACAATACAGCCAATGCTGGGCATGGTGAGCACACCTCCATCCCAGCACTGGGGAAGCAGAGGCAGGTGGGTCTCTGTGATTTCCAGGACAGCCAGGCGCTTTGTAGAGAGACTCCACCTCAAACAAACAGAAAGAAGCTCTCTCTCTCTCTTTTTTTTAAAAGATTTATTTATTTATTATGTTTACAGTGTTCTGCCTGCATGTATGCCTGCATGCCAGAAGAGGGCACCAGATCTCATTACATATAATTGCGAACCACCATGTAGTTGCTGGGAATTGAACTCAGGACCTTTGAGTTCAGACCATGCTCTTAACCTCTGAGCCACCTCTCCCGGCCCCAGAAAGAAGCTCTTACACACAGAAAGGCTTTTTTAGGCCTCTGACCTTCTATGGCACTATTTTGAAGGGGAAGGCCCACCTTTCTGCCTGGGGAACTTCATCCCTCCAATATCTTTTGGAGACTCGGGCCCAGCCTAGCCCTGACCCTCTATGGGAATTAATTGATGAATATGAGTCCCAGCATGAGTGCAGGACTGTATGACCAAGGGCAGGTTGGATGACATCTTGAGTCCCTTACATGCCACGGATGGATGAAGGGGACAGAGTGCTGCCCCCACCTCTACTCCCTTCCCCCCACCCCCTACGGCCCCCATCAAGGCAGTGACTGGCGAGCATTGAGGATTCTGTTTTTACTGTTTGTATTATGAATTTGCTGTTCATCCCAGGTTTTAGCCTCTGGGAACCGTGGCTTCATCTCTAGGATGGGGCTCATCATTCTACCTTTTTAGAGCTCCAGTGAGGGCCGGGAAGGGTGTCTGCTAGCAGAGACAGAGCATATGCTCCTGGTGTGAGGGAAACTTTAGAGTCATATTATTGCTAGGCACACCCCTGTCATCCTAACACTTCAGAAGGATCTGGAGTATTAGTCCAGCCTGGGTGACATAGCGGAACCCTCCTGAGACACACACAGCCATACACATAGAAAGGGGAGGGGGGTGAAAGAGAGGGAGGGGCGAGAGAAAACGATTACGAATGGTCACTGGAAGCAGCCCAGGTTCTTAGGGCGCTCCTAGGCCAGGGCTCTTGCTTGAGGGGCTGCAGGTGGGGAAAGGCAGGCAGGACAAGGCAGAACAAGGCTGGGTCTGAGCACACTCTGTATATGGCTCAGGCACAAGAGTAAGAAGAAAGCCTTTACCAAAGCCTGCAAGAGGTGGCGAGACTCCGACGGCAAGAAGCAGCTCCAGAAAGACTTTGCCGCTATGAAGAAGTACTGCAAGGTCATTCGGGTCATTGTCCACACCCAGGTCAGCCCAGCCCCCACCTTCAGCCCATTCAATCTTTGGGCGCCTGCTCCCATCCTCCACCTCCAAAATGAAGAGCCCTGACAAATGTCAACTTAAAAATAGCACCAGCCCTGGGAACAGGTTCAAGATCTGGCCAGCCACTTCACTGGCCACTCTTATCCCAGAAGTGAGAGGACACTGGCATGTGATGTTATATGCCAGTGCCATCAGCAGCTTTAGTGGCCCCATGGACCACTCAGGCCCCCCAAATGTCCTGAAAGGCTTGGGTCTCCAGCCAAAAGTCCAGCATGGAGAACTGGCTGCACTTGGGGTCCAGCTTGACGCTGACTGAAATGTAGCCAGAACACTCATTCTGGAATATTCTTAGGCACCTTGTCTTCAGGGAAGTGTCCCCCAGGCACCACAGCAGCAGCCCTGATGCCCCCACTCCTCTTTGGCACCTCCCCTGCCCTCTGAACACAGGCTTGTTACTCTCACACTTGCAGCACATGTATAAGCAAGTCAGTGCTTGATGTTCATCAGTGTGACCTCCAGGGCCATAGAGGCAGGGGTCACACTCATCTAGTTCCCCTGTTGGCCTCAGGGATTACCACCTGGTATACAGTGGGAGCTCTGTTACTACCTGCTGAACACTCTGCTGTGATCTAACTGGTCTGTTCGCACCTGCTATGCCCTCACGGCACACACAGCTCATAGCAGCCAGAACCTTGTCGGATATTCTAGTTAACAACCTACACTTGAAAGTTGGAGCCCATTCCTATGTCTGCCTGGTTATGACATCTTCCAGCTCCCATCTGGCCAGCCTGGGATCTCTCCATCCCACCAAATTTCTAAGGTCTTCCCTTACGTGGGGGCCTTTTCACACGCGGCTTGCTTCCTCCGTCATAAGCTCACTCAGATCTTTACCTAGTGACTTTTCTGCTGTTATTGGTCACTTCCTCAGAGAGGCCCTTCTTTACCTGAGGTGCAGCCCGTAATCCATCAGAACACTGCGCCCTCTCCAAGAGTTTACTTGGCCTTTGTGTATCTTCAAAGTACACGGCGAGGCTCCCTGAGATGTGGGGTGCTGTCACCTCAACCTGTGCTGGCATGTGGCAGGAGGATGGTGATGTCTGTTAATAAATGCAAGTGGGGAAAACTTCAGATTGCCAGTGGACTAGCCATCTGCAGGTGTGCGGGGCTGTGGACTGACTTTCCTGCCGTGTCTTGTAGATGAAGCTACTGCCCTTTCGGCAGAAGAAGGCCCACATCATGGAGATTCAGCTGAATGGTGGTACTGTGGCTGAGAAGGTGGCCTGGGCTCAGGCACGGCTGGAGAAGCAGGTGCCTGTACACAGTGTGTTCAGCCAGAGTGAGGTTATTGATGTCATTGCTGTCACGAAGGGCCGGGGTGTTAAAGGTAGGGTCTCATGGAGACAGTGGCTCCAGGCAAGACTGTTTAGCGGGGGCTGGAATGGCCTTTCAGACTCTCGCCTTTCCCATTTGCAGGGGTCACTAGTCGCTGGCACACCAAGAAGCTGCCAAGGAAGACCCACAAAGGCCTGCGCAAGGTGGCTTGCATTGGTGCCTGGCACCCTGCCCGAGTAGGCTGTTCCATTGCCCGGGCTGGGCAGAAGGGTTACCATCACCGCACAGAGCTGAACAAGAAGGTGTGTCACATCTCTGAGGGGTCTCTAGTGGGATGGTGTGGCTCAAACACCGATTGGGTTCATGAGGTATCTGATATCATGAGATATCAGAGTCTGAGCATGTGTGCTGAGGGCGTGTATGTGGCCATGTTGCCAGCCCCAGAAACCACCTCTGGTCCCTACTGTGCTGTGTCTTCCTGGTAGATCTACCGCATTGGCCGGGGGCTGCACATGGAAGATGGGAAGATGGTTAAAAACAACGCGTCTACCAGCTATGACATCACGGACAAGTCTATCACACCACTGGTGAGGCAAGGTGGCCTGGCTGTCAGACAGGATCTGATGGGGGTTGGGGGACAGGTCCTAGCTCCAGCTGGACGGTACCTTGCCCCTAGAGCTCTGTAGTATGCTCCACAGTGGATACCATACACAGACACACAGACATACACACAGACACACAGACTAGGCCAGGGGTTCCGGCAGGAGGGCAGTGACGGGAGGCCTGACAGAAGAGAGAGCATGCACTTGGGAGTTGCTCTAGTGCTTGTTGTTCCTGCACGCTCACACCTCCTGTGAGGAGCATGTACTCTGTGGAGGAAGTATGGTGACCTAGGAACTAGCCCAGAGCTAGAGGGAAACAATCATGGAGCCTGAAGCATGTGTCTTCTGCCCTTTTTTGGCTTGTTTGTTTAGTTTTTTTTCAAGACAGGGTTTCTCTGTGTAGCCCTGGATGTCCTGGAACTCACTCTGTAGCCCAGGTTGGCTTCCAAATTTCTATATAGCTGAGGATGACCTTGAAACTCTGATCCTCATGTTTCTAACATCTGAGTGCTCAGAGCCTGTGGCTATGTCACAATACCCTGTTTGTTTTTGTTTTCTTTCCTCTGTGTAGCCCTCACTGACCAGGAACTTGCTCTGTAGACCAGGCTGGCCTCAAACTCAAAAGAGCTTCCGGCCCCTGCCACCCAAGTGCTGGAATTAAAGGCACGTGTCACCAGGCCTGGCTAACACCCTGTGTTTTAATGTGGTGCTCAGGATCAAACATGGCCTCATGCATGCTAGGCTAGCGTTCTTCAAACCAAGCTACTAAGGCAGAGCCTCACTATTACCCACGCTGGCCTTCAACTCAAATCACCCTCTGAAATGCTGGATTTACAGATACACCACCACGCTCAGCAAACTTCTGAGCATCAGTGTCCCCCACAAAAAGGCATACTGTTAAATGAGACACAGGAAGAATACTTAGTATGTGGCTCAGCGGCCACCCATCACCCCCAGTGAGTTATCCAGGGTGAGGGTACTGTCCTTGCACCCCAAAGTCTGGGCATAGGGCCCCTAACCACCGTAGCCCCCTAACTTGTCTGCCCTAAACCTGGCTTGGTCTGATCTGTCTCCCTGTAGGGTGGTTTCCCCCACTACGGGGAAGTGAACAATGACTTCGTCATGTTAAAGGGCTGCATTGCAGGCACCAAGAAGCGGGTGATCACACTGAGAAAAGTGAGTGCAGCAAGGCAGGCTGGGTAGGGAAGTCCAGTAGCCTTTTCTGTCCTTTAGCCAGCCCTGTGGTGGGTGTGTTGGTGGGAGAATAAAGGAAGGGGTCTGGCAGGAGCGGAGTGATTGATTTAGCCCTCTCTGGTGTGAGCCGGAGGTCACAGGAGGAGCTGGGCCCCTCCATCTCTGACATTTCTTATCTCTTGGATTCCCTAGTCCCTCCGAGTGCACCACAGCCGCCAGGCCCTGGAGAGTATTGAGCTCAAGTTCATTGACACCACTTCCAAGTTCGGCCATGGACGTTTCCAGACTGCGCAGGAGAAGAGGGCCTTTATGGTGAGTAGTGTCTCTTGTTCTCTGGTCTCAAAGCTCCAAATTCTACTTGCTCCCGAGAGGAATTGGAAGGCTGCTTTCAGTAGGCCCTGGGTAGCGCTGGTTCTGATCTTAGGCAATATTTCTTGACCAACTCTTGTTGACTACCGCTCCTCCTGTCCTCCCACTTTAACCAGGGACCCCAAAAGAAGCATTTGGAGAAAGAGAAGCCGGAGACCCCAGGAAACATATAGGATGCCTGCAATGGAGCACACTCAGGAATGCTCCTGCTGTCTGTCCTGTCCTTTTTGTTCAATAAAGTCCTGAGGCAACTCTTATTTTCTCTCTCTTTCTCTCTCTTTCTTTCTTTCTCTGTCTCTTTTCTTTCTCTCTCTCTTCTTTCTTTCTCTCTTCTTTCTTTCTCTCTCTCTCTCTTCCTTCCTTCCTCCCTTTCTCTCTCTTTCTTTCTCGCTCTCTTTTTCTTTCTTTCGTTCTTTTTCTTTCTTTCTCTTTCTTTTCTCTCTCTCTTTCTTTCTCTCCTTTCTTTCTCTCTCTCTTTCTTTCTTTCTTTCTCTCTCTCTCTCTCTCTCTCTCTCTCTTTATTTCTTTCTTTTCTTTTCTTGTTTTTTTCACACTCCCTGGTAGGCCTGAGGTAACTCTTAAGCCTGGGTCAGGGTTGGGGAGGTCCAAAAGGCGGGCCGACTGTTGCAGGGCGCAGAGTTTAGCGCCGGATCAGGGAGGGCTACGGATACGGCTGGTGCCTCCACTCCAGCTGCACAATGGTAACAGCAATAGCTCTTACAGCTATGCTGTGGCCTAGCAGCTCTCCCAGAGCCCCGCCTGGGTACGCACTTCGGCTGAAGGCCGTGGCTCTTCCGGCCGGGCCCTCTGGAGGCGGAAGTGAGGACCTAGTCAAGGGAGGGCCTGGTTGGATGGGTGGAGTTTAGGGCTTAGGGAGGAGAGGCTTGTTGAGGGCGGGGCTCCCAGGAGGCGGTACTTGGGGAATCCTGATCTGACTGTTCTTCCCTAGGGGCGGGGCTTAGGGCGAGCTGGGAAGTGATTGGTCATTGTGAGGGGACGGGTTAGAGCCAGATGGGAGGAATTTAAGGTGCCGGGCGGGGAACCTTTGCCTGTCAGGTCACAGCCATGTCGTTCTGCAGCTTCTTCGGAGGCGAGGTTTTCCAGAATCACTTCGAGCCAGGTACAGCCTGTGGCATTGAAGCAGGCATCGCCTTCTGGGTGGCGGTGGAGTTGGCTAGGGTGATTGCCGTGGAGAAGCGAGCTTAGGAAGGAAGGGCTAGGAGGAGGGGCTGGCCAGGGCATTGGGGAGCAAGTGGATTTGGGAAGAGAAGGGACTTCCAGTAATCTCTGTTCCCGAGGAGGACAGGCCGTGAACTTCAGTATAGCTCTCTCTGGGGGATCTTCTGGGCCGGGTGCTTCGGGGCGGTGCCATCATTATGGTTAGAGAGTGGTCGGGACGTTGGAGCAGAACAATGGAGATCTGTGGTCCAAGGTCGGCGTTGGAGTTTGCCCTGGCCGTGTTCCTTCCCGAACTGATTTGGATGAGCGGGCAGGCTCTGCACGTTCCGTTCAGTCAGTCCCGAATGTGCCGGCCCAGGCGTCTCCGCCCTCTGGGTTGGGTGTCAGTGGGCTCTTGCCAGTGTAAATGAAGTTTGACCAGTACAGCTTGGTTACAGTAAGCCCCAGCGTGAGAGACGCTGCTGAGTCCCCTTCTTGCTGGCTTCTGCTGACGCCGGACTAATTGGGTAAAAACTATGGCACTGGTGTCCCTAGGGCGGGATCTGTTGGCTGTCGGTCCTCTAGAGGGCTGGGCTGTGACGCTGGGCATCTGTATAAGCCAGTTGTGATAGAGGGTTGCCGGGCAGAGAGAGGCCTCTCTTGTATCCCTTTTGCCTGTAGCACTCTGGCTGCCTTCAGGCTGCCCTGGCAAGCTGGACAAGTTCTTGATACAGGCTGAACAGTTAGGGGTGCCGGTCCTCAAGTGGCGGGTGATGGATGATTCAGTACTCTGCAAGTTCCCATTTTTAAGATTTTTCAAACAGTTATGTAATTCAGTTTTGCAACTCATGGGATCTTTTGGGGACAGGTTGAAACCTTTCTTGCCAGCTGTTGTTTTTTCTAGGGCTTCCTATTTGGCTTGGAAGACTGTTCCCTCGGGCCAGTCAGAGAGCAAGCCCGTGGCTGGGTATCCAGTTTAAGACTGTTGACTAGTAGAGATGCCCACTCGAGGGAGGGGACCAAATGGTTACACTGGCAGAGTTAGGGGTCCTGCTGTGTGGATCTTGTCCAGGGGTAAAAGAAGGCTATACTCAGATTTATAGGGTTCTCTCTTGGCCACATACTTTATCGTGTGTCTGCAACACCGACCCTTTTACCTTCTTGTCTGTGAATGGAAATGTTAGCCAAGTGTGGTGGTTCACACCTGCATTCCCAGGATGTAGGAGGCTCAGGCAGAAGGACTGCCTCAAATTTGAGGCCAGCCTGGATTATGTAGTTTCAGGATAGCCCGAACGACAGTGTGAGACTTGGCCTAGTTTGCTTTTCCGTTGTGATAAAACACGGATAAAAACCTGTCTGGGGAGGAAAGAGTTTATTTCAGTTTACAAATTACTGTTCATCATGAGGGGAACCAAGGTAGGAACCTGGAGGGAGGAACTGAGTGGAGACTACAGAGAAATGCTGTTTACTGGTTTGCTAGCCTAGCTGTCTTTCTCTTTCTTTCTTTCTTTCTTTCTTTCTTTCTTTCTTTCTTTCTTTCTTTCCTTTTTTTTTTTTTTTTGAGGCAGGGTTTCTCTCTGTAGCCTTGGCTGTTCTGGATTAAAGGCATGCACCACTGCTCCCGGCTTTGGCCACCTTTCTTAAACATCTTTGCTCAGGGATGGCACTGTCACAGCGAGCTGGGTCCTCCCACATCAATTATTATCCAAGAAAACGTCCCAGGGGCGGGCGGTGTCCTATGCCTTTAATCCCAGCACCCAGGAGGCAGAGCCAGGCAGATCTCTGTGAGTTTTGAGGCCAGCCTGGTCTACAGAGCTAGTTCCAGGACAACCATACACAAAGAAACCCTGTCTCAAAAAACAAACAAACTGTCTTAGTTAGGGTTTCTATTCTTGCAATGAAACACCATGACCAAAAAGCAAGTTGGGGAGAAAAGGGTTTATTTGGCTAACAGTTCTTAGGTCACACTCCGTCACTGAGGGAAGTCAGTATAAGAACTCAAGCAGGGCAGGAGCCTGAAGGTAAGAGCTGATGCAGAAGCCGTGGAGGGGTGCTGCTTACTGTCTTGATCCTCATGGCTTGCTAGCCTGTTTTCTTATAGAACCCAGGACCATCAGCCCAGGGATGGGACCACCCATAATAGGCTGGGCTCTCCCCCATTGATTACTAATTGAGAAAATGACTTACAGTTGGATCTCATGGAGGCATTTCCTCAACTGAGGCTCCTTCTCTCTTATGACTCTAGCTTGTGTCAAGCTGACACATAAAAGAAAAGTACAGTACACAAACAAGTAAAGAAGAAAAAGAATAATGTCCTCATCGACATGCCCACAGATCAGTTTGATCTAGTCAGGTCCTCAGCTCCATTCCCTATTCTTGGGGAACCCTAATTTGTTTTAAATTGACAAAAACTAGTTGGCACAAGATCTTATCTCAAAACAAACAAACAAAACAAAAACCCCAAGGGGGCTGGAAATGGCTCAGTGTTAAGAGCGTGTTTTGCAGAGGACCCGGGTTTCATTCTCAGCACCCACATGATAGTTCACTCCAGTCTCATGGAATCTGACACCATCTGTCTGCTGATCTCTTTTGGTTTCTGTAAACACTGTATACTTGTGGTACTCAGGCAAAACACCCACACACATAAAAATAAGTCTTTTAAAAACATCCCAAACTAAATAATTGAATTAAAACGTCAAAGATTTCATACCACAGAGCAACTGAGAGTAGCTGAAATGAGCCCAAAGGGTGACTTCTGGCCTCTGTAACTCAGCCAGGTACTGCCAGGTGCTGTCTCTCTCAGAGCCAGTCAATGGGCTGTGAGCAGGGGATAGATCTACCAACACAATGGGCTCAGTGCTAGTATTGTCATTCCTGGGACCAAGGTCAAGGAAGCTTGTCCTGGGCGGAAGGAGTAGATCCATGTCCCAGCTTTTGCTGTTTCTCCACTCCAGGTATCTATGTGTGTGCCAAGTGTGGCTATGAGTTGTTCTCCAGTCGCTCCAAGTATGCGCACTCATCCCCGTGGCCAGCATTCACGGAGACCATCCATGCAGACAGTGTGACCAAGAACCCTGAGAAGAACCGACCGGGAGCTTTAAAGGTGGGTGTGAGAGCCCTGATGGCTGCTGGCTAGAGAGGGGTTGGACCTAGGCACACCTCTCTTCCTTTGTTCCCGAAGGAGGCCATTCCAGGTCTCCATCTTCAGCTGAGGCACTGGCACCCCAAGATGTTGTTGTTGTTTGACGCAGGGTTTCTCTGTAGCTCTGACTGTCCTGGAACACACTCTCTAAACCAGGCTGGTCTCAAACCCAGAGATCCACCTGCCTCTGCTTCTCAAGTGCTGGGATTACAGGAGGGAGTTACCACACCCGGCTTCACCCCACGATTTTGAGAGTGCTTGTATCCTGAGAGAACATGAGCATTAGGACAGCTTCCCTGCCACAGGCCCCACCCCTCAGGGCTTGGGAAATGGGCAGGAGGCAGGAAACTGATTGTGTTTGGGTTTTCCTAGGTGTCCTGTGGCAAGTGTGGCAATGGGTTGGGCCACGAGTTCCTGAATGATGGCCCCAAGCATGGACAATCCCGATTCTGAATATTTAGCAGCTCACTGAAGTTCATCCCTAAAGGTGAGCGCCTTCAGCGGCTGGGGACATCCTGTTGTAACTGAGGAAGGTCCAGCAGGGAGGCAGGTTGTGAATGCTTATCTACTGGCTACAGCAAAGTACACCTACCAGTGGCACCCGAACAGCTGGCTGAAGGACAGGACCAGGGGGCAGATGTCCAGGGTGTCTCATATGGAAACATATCAGGGAGGGCCTGGCATGAAGTTTTCTCTGTAGGCTTGGCCTTTCCATGGGGTGGGAGTCCTGTGTTGGGTCTAGGGGTAAGTAAAGGCTGAGGACCTGGGCCATGTGACCAGAGGCTGTGGCAGCGTACTTTCTATCACAGTGCTGCTGAGGACTACTGAATGTGATGTGCTACCCCTGGGGCCAAGCACATAGTAACAACTCAGTAAAACTACTTCAAGATCAACCTTTTTAACAGTGGTCAAAGGCTGTGGACAGACTCTTTATCCGGTTTCATGATCTGTCAAAGAACAGCTGCCATTGCTTTACTGTGGGGTCAGTGAGTAGTCTGGAAGGGCCTAGGGCACACTGGGCTATAGTTTTGTTCTTTGTAGCTAGTGGAGGAGGAAGAGACTGTGGGTTCTCCTGTAGATCTCAGGAAATGCAGAGTGTGCAGACTTCTTGGAGCTGGGTCCCTGGGCTGTTCAGCTGGCCTGGAGTCTCTATCATGATTTTTGTTGTTTTCTTTTAGTACTTTTTAGAAAAAGTACATTTTTCTCCATTTATCTCCACTGTTCTACCATGATGGCCCTAGGGACAGGGCTAAGACAGTGGCTGTTTTGAGCCTGTAGGAGACTCAGGGTTAGGTCATCTCTGGATGACTTTGTACCTAAGAGATTTTATGTATACGAGTATTTCGCCTGTGTGTATTCTCTGTGTAGAGCCTGCAGAGCCAGGAGAGGGCACCAGATCCCTGGGACTAGAGTGACAGGCCATGTGGGTGCTGGGGATAGAACCCAGGTCCTCGGGAAGAGCAGCCCATCCCTCTGGCCTCCCACCAAGAGTGCATTGTAATTTATTTACTTTGTGTACTTGGGGTGTGGAGAGGTGGAGACATGTGGAGAGGTCAGAAGACAGTTTATGGAAGTTGGTTTTCCTCTTCCACTGGGTGGGCCCTGGGTATCAAATTCAAGTTGTTAGGCTTGGATGGCAAGTATGTTTACTCACTGAACCATCTTGTGATCCCTGATTTTAGTTTTTAGTTGTTTTTTTGTTTTTGTTTTTTGAGACAGAGTTTCTCTGTAGCCTTAGCTGTCCTGGAACTCACTACATAGAGCAGGCTGACCTTGAACTTAGAAAGATCTACCTGCCTCTGCCTCCTGAGTGCTGGGACTAAAGGCGTGCGCCACCACCACCTGGCTATAGGGCTGCAGTTTTTGGTTTTCGTTGTTGTTGTTTTTCAAGACAGGATTTCTCTGTTCTACAGAGCCCTGGCTGTCCTGGACACACTTTGTAGACCAGGTTGGCCTCAAATGTCTCTGTCTTATGAGTGCTGGGATTAAGGGTGTGCTCCACCATGCCCAGCTCTTTTATCCTTTGTCTTTTTGAAAAAAAAAAAAAAAAGAGTCTGACTATATAGCCCTGGCCATCCTTGAACTCACAGAGAGCTATCTGCCTCTGCTTCCTAATAGGTTTTAGTACTTTTGAGATAAGGTCTATCCTGTAGCCCAGGGTGGCCTGGAACTTGCCGTACAGCCCTTTCTGATCACTCCTCCTGAATCTCCTTCATCAGCCTCTGGAATGCTGGGCTGACAGACATGAGCATCATGCTCAGCTGAAGCATGACTTAACAGTGATGTCTTTTCTCTGTCTTCTCTTTTCCAGGAAAAGAAGCCCCTGCCTCCCAGGGGCACTAGGTGAGCAGCTGTCCTTCCCAGATGGGTATGCCTACTTTTTGGCAGCCCCATGTTAGAACCTCAGGGGCTGGGAGGAGGTGGTTGAAGCACCAGGAAGACTCCAATGCCTTGTCTCTAAATGGAATCACCGTAGATGAAGCATGTTCTGGAAAGTCTCCACTGTTCTACCATGATGGCCCTAGGGACAGGGCTAAGACAGTGGCTGTTTTGAGCCTGTAGGAGACTCAGGGTTAGGTCATCTCTGGATGACTTTGTACCTCAGCCTTCTCTTCCCCTCATCCTGCCACCCACCTCCTTGGCTGTCCACACTCACCCCTATGGGGCTCAGTGCTGGGCATGGGTGCTGGCCCTCACTAAAGCTTGTGCCTATCTCCTCTGGGTTGTGCAGGAGATTTGAATGGGACCGTCCTCACCAACCGCTTCAGCCTTGGTCACTGCATGATCTGCTCTGGTTAAATCCTTCTATGCCAGCCAGGGTGGTGATGATCTGTGACCTCGGAGAAGGATTGCAGGTTGATGCCATGGACTCTTGGACCCTTGTCTTCTGGCAGAGAAAACAGAGCTCTGTTTCACAATCTGTGGCTTCATCTTGCCTCACTCAGGCTTGGGAAAGAGATGGTTGCCCCATTACCTGACTGATGTATTGGGGCCCTGCTCTCTCCACTCTCCCCAGTTTTACTGCAGGGGTGTCCCTCCCAGGAGAAAGCCACTGCACCTTGCTGCATGTGCTTGGAAGCTCTTGATGTCTGGGAGGGTGATGCTGAAGCCCACCCCACCTTGATTATTCTCTGGACTGATCAAATGGAAATCAATAAATAGCCTGGGCTTGTTGCCACATTTATTGATTGATTGATTGATTGATTGATTGATTGCAGTGCTAGGGACTGAACTAGGATTACAAGTGCCACCATACCTGACTTGATTTTAACAGCATTTTAACAATGCCTAACACCTGCCAGGGCCCCAGAGAGAGCTGGGTCTCCCTCATCTGCCTCAAAACCCGGAGGAAGATGGGAAGGCTGGATAGGTCAGGTTTGAAGGTCTAGACGCTTGGAGGAGCCAGGCAGGGACTGGGCCTGCAGGAGTTTGAAACATTTACCTGGAGATGCTCTGGGCTCAGGGTCTTCCAGTGAATTAGACTGGCTGCACACCTGTCTGGCTCGCTGTTGAGATGTCCCCCAGGAATAAGGGAGGTGGGACCTTCTCTGGTGATGCTGTCTGCTGACCGGTTGGGGCTTGCCATTCTGAATGGCCTCAGTGGTCCCAGTCTTGACGTGGGGGGGACTCATGCTGTGGGATTTTTATATTGAGGAAAGAGTAGACCTTGGCCGAAGGACCTCTGCACCTGTCTTCAGCCTCCAGCAAACTGACTACATGCACAGGACCCCTCTCCTGGGCACTGGGAAGGTGTTAAGCACGGTTAAAAATCTGTTAAAAACCACTATTAGTTGTCAGACACAGTGGTGCAGGCCTGTAATTCTAGCACTTGGGGAGTCAGAGGCAGGTGGATCTCTGTGAGTTCGAGGCCAGCCTGGTCTACAAAGTGAGTCCAGGACAGCCAAGGCTACACAGAGAAATGCTGTCTTGAGGAATAAAAACCACTATTGGTGTTAACAATGACTCCTTATTCTATCTTCTGATATTCATGTTCCCATAATTTCCCCAACTGACTCCCTAAATGGCAGCTCTTAGACATTCCCTTGCTATCTTGGCTGCCTTGAGCAATAAAGGACTGCCAGACAAATTGCCAGCCAGACTGACTATCCTTACGCCAGCACTGGTTGCATTGAACATTCTATGGATGTCTGGAGCAAAATGATCAAAGTTGATTGCTCCAGGCTCCAGAAGAAACAGCTTCAGCTAAGGCTGTTTGAAACAGTCCATACCAGGCTAGCCTCTAAATTTTAGATGATCCTGCAACCATCTCTACCCAGGCCAGAGAAGGAGCACTTCTTTTGGTGGCCTAGCAGAAGGACTGCTGTGATGAGTGTTAAAAACAAACAAATAACAACAAAACGGAGCTGGAGGGATGGCTCACTGGTTAAGAGCACTGACTGATTTCCCAGAGGATCCAGGTTCAATTCACAGCACCCACAGGACAGTTCACAACTATCTACAACTCCAGTTTCAAGGGACCTGGCACCCTCAACACAGGCATAAATGGAGGCAAAACACAAATGCACATAAAAATAAATAAATCTTAAAAACAAAACAACAAAAACAAAACAAGCTATAGCCAGGCAGTGGGGGTGCAACTCTTTAATCCCAGTGCTCAGGAGGCAGAGGCAGGTGGATCTCTGAGTTTGAGGTCAGCCTGGTCTACAGAGTGAGTTCCAGCCAGCCAGCCAAAGTTACACAAACAAATGCTGTCACAAAAACCAAATCAAACAAACAAAAAACAGGCTGTGATTGGTGCAGGAAAATGGTCATTTGCATCGGAGTTGTGTGCTATGATTGGTGTAAACTCTTTTTACACTATGCAGGGAATTCCGCTCACTGAATTAGCTGAAAGACACAATCCTGTGTTGTTTGCTTTAGTGTTGCTAAGTCAGGCCCAAGAAAAGGCTCCTTTTAGTGTTTTTCTTGTTCGCTGTCAGCAGCGCAGGCAGAGAAAATGGCATAGTAGAGCAAAGGTGAGGGAGGAGGGGCAGCCTGAATGCCAGCAGCCCCGGGGTTGCTCTTTAGCTGCCAGACCTGCAGCCAAAACCTGAGGGAGGGGTCTAGCGATAGCTCTCTGTCCAAGGGTGTTGGAAGACTACTGGAAGAAGAGGCGAAAAAGGACAGTACGTGGAGGCTGAAGGATAGAAGGCTGGAAAGAGCAGTTGCAGAACGCTAAGCTTTAGGCTGAGGATTTTGGACACCCCAGGCCTAACAGCTGTAACACTGGCCGCTGTCAGAGCGGGAGAAGAAGGCCTACCCAGAAGCCACAGCCCTAAAGAATCACAACTTTCCCGGGCCTAACCAAGAGGTAACACTAGAGGGCGCCACGAGTTCACGTAGCTCGCTGCTGTCAACCCGTGAAGGACGACTCAGCCCTTGAAGAGATCTCTGATTTCTCCTATTTTCTGCCCACTTAGAGCAAAAGGACCCAAGCCAGTGACTTGGTAACAGGGTGTTACGTTCAGAGCATGGGCTTCTGACCTGAACAGGTCTCTTTCTCCTGTTGTTGACAGTCACCTTCCAGGCCTTGGGACGTCAGTGGGGAATAGTTAGATAGTTTGGGCCACAGAGTGGTCAGCTGTGAAGCCCAGTGAATATTCTTAGCCCATAGCGCTGAAGGGTAACCGTTCCTACAGACATGGTTGGGGTTATGAAACTGGAGCAGGCAGGGAGAAACTTTATCTGCAGGATCTTCCTCTTCATCCACCACCCTCACCCTAAGCTAGTTAAAGATCACCAGTCTCTCTTTGAGCTGCTGCTGCAATCCTGGAAGAAGCTACATGGTTACAAATTGAACTGAGTTGGATGTGGTGGCACAGGCCTCTAATCCCAGCACCCAGGAAGCAAGCAGACCTCTGAGTACAAGGCCTGCCTGCACTATAAAAGGACTTTCCAGACCATCCACGGCTACACAGCGAGACCTTGTCTCAGAAACAAGCAAACAGCAGCAACAAAACCAAGATGATCTGGGCCGCATTGCAAGAAGCAATACAGATCATGGGAACCTAGCTCCTGGCTCTGACAGGAGTAGGGACAGTAGCCTTCTGGGCTAGTTCCTCCAAGGTGCAAGGGACAACCAACCATGAGGGTCCTGGAGGGTGACTGACTGGAGCTGTGCATCACGACAGGGTTTGGACATCTCTGACAATCCTCGCAGCCGCAGGCATACTGACCTGGACCATGCTAGTGACAATTTCTACACAGGAAACTTTTGCTTGTCTCCCTTCCTGACTTGGTCTGTCCCATGACCTGTCTTTGTTTCAGGGCAGTGTCCCTCAGGCACCAGGACTGAGGCTCCAGTCTCTGGCTGGTGGGGACAGGGAAACCATTTATCCTTGGTCCAGGGAATCTAGAATATGAGGTACTCAGGTTGTCCATGGTAGAAGCAGGTGCTTGTCACCGCTGCCATCTTCTGTCCTCTTATGGCTAGACATCAAGTAGGGACTGGGATCTCCTTTTGTAAAGTAGGAAGGGAGGGCTCAGGGGGCTGGGTCCCTGTCAAGGTCACCTATGGGGAAGGGGCAGGGAAAGCTCCTACATCCCTTTAAGCTGTTAGCATTGCCCCGTCCTGCCCCCAGAGGGGGCTCTTGCCTGGCCTTCTTTCCCATCAAGGTGAACTCAACGGAACTCTCTGGGGCTGGGTGGATGGACTAAGAGACTAAGAGACTAAGACTAAGTCTCTCTTAAGGGCTCCTCCCCAGGATGGAGCCATATCCGGCCTCCAAAGTGGAAAAACCCCACACAAATCAAGGACATCTGGGCCCACCCTCTGGCCACAGCCCCACCCCATCATTCCCCTGCTAGTCTTGGGCTCTGCAGGCTGCAGGAATGGGTCTGGGGGTGAAGGGTGTGGTTTTAAGGGAGGAGGTCTTAGGGCTCTCACATATGTTTAATGCCCCCAGCAGTCTCCCATGGAGGGAGGAACTGAGCAATGTTATTAATCATCTTCCAGAGAGGGGCAGTCCTATGCATGCCTGCCCTAGCCCGGAGGCCCGGGCTAGGGGTACCCTCTGCGAAGAGGGGAGGGACTGCAAAAGAGGCAGAAGAGTCAGACCGAGACAGAGGCACACAGTCACACTAAAAACAGTCACTAGTGTCCGTGCTTAGGTGTGGAGTCCTCAGAGGAGTAGAGACTAGGCCCACTGTTTTCGAAACTGACTGTGAGGTCAAGATAAATGGGGGTCAAAATTATGTACCCAAACAGGATGGGGTGTAGCTCAGTAGCTCGGTGGTAGAATATGGCTAACATGGGCAAAGCTAGGGTTCTATCCTTAGCACTGAAAAACAAACCACACACAAAGAACTTGTTAGTCTCTGATGAGACAAAGGCAGGGCTAGGTAGCTGGCATTTCTATCTGTCCATTCCTGCTCTGGTCAGCGTTCTTCCCCAGAGGCATGTCTAAGGTTCTGCACCTGGGCCTCTCCCTTCTACCCACTACACCAAGGCTAACTGCAGCCATGCTGGCTGGCCCACGTCTCAGAGGCTACTTATCACCTACCTGGCTGTCTTGTCTTGACAGATTCAGTGAAATGTGGGTATGTAGGTTTCCTCTGCCCATCCTACTCTTTGAGCCTTTGTGTGTGTGTGTGTGTGTGTGTGTGTGTGTGTGTGTGTGTGTGATAAAATCTCATGTAATCCAGGATAGCTTCAAATTCACTATGTAGCTGAGGAGGCCTTGGACTCCTGGTCCTCCTGCTGAGAATCGTTATTTTATTTATACAGGCATGCAGTGCTATGTCTCATTTGTGTGGTGCTGGCAATAGAACCCAGGGCTATCCCTGGGTTCACTAGGCACACTAGACAAGCACTTAACCAACTTAGCTACATACCCAGTCCCTCCAGGGGCTCTTGATGACCCTGCTACATCTGCCTCCTAAGTGCGAAGATTATGTGTGAGACACTTACGATGAGGGCTCCCAGGGACTCCATGTGTATTGAGCAGAAGAGGCAGAACCAGACAGTAGGAAGCAAGTGACTTTCCCAGGACTGTATGGCTCAGAGATGGGAACTCACTGTCGCTAGGTCACACAGGAGGAGGCTAGCAGGGTCTGGGGCTGGGTCCCGCCAGCAAAGCAGGCCAAGAGCCAGGCAGAGGATAGCCTGGACATCCCAATGGAGAGAGGTTGGTAAACACAGAGGATGCTTCTGGAATCAAGATTTACCTTTAAAGAGGCAT